CTTTCGAACGAAGTATCACAAAGGGGGTCTTCCTATTGAAAAAAAAAAGTTAGGGTCCGTGACCCCCCCCCCCAAGGGGGGCCCCCAAAATTTTTTTTGGGGGGGGGTCAAAAAGTAGTTCCCTTTGATCTAGGAACACCCTCCAAGTTTCAAATCTCTACCTCAATCAGGTCAAAAGTTAGCAGTGCAAACACTGCCACTGGTCCATTGAAAACATGGTTTCTAGAGATAATAATTTTTTTTATTCCATGATACTTCCCTAATAAGTTTTCTTTTCCTTCGGATTCCCTACGGAACAACTTTAGTTTTGAACTTCGAGGTTTAAAAAAATAAGTTCTTCTTTTCACCTCTTGCATGATTGGTTGGGTGCAAAAAGGGCATTGCTTAAGAAGTGCCTTTTTTACGCAAAACATCTCTGAACTATCATCGTACCAAATATGAATACATTCGGATAATAACTGAGCACGAGATGAATTATTTTATAGAAAAAGGTTGCGCCGTATTGGATAAATAAGCACGTTAACATATTGGCACGCAGCTCGAGTCAGCCTGCGCACCACTGTCCAACCGACTGTTGTCGTCAGCAATGGCTGCTCACAGCCAGCCGACGATACTGATAAGAACAAAGGCTCATCACCTTACCCCAGTTGCAGATATTTTTCTGAAATCCTCTATTTAGCTACGTTTGTTTACAGACAATCTACAGACAATTTGTCGAGACAATCAAGATATTGCGTTTGTGCGAAAAGGACTGAGAATGGTGTTTTTTCGTTATTTTTTTTCCTCTTACAAACGATTTGGATATAAAAAGGTGCAAGGTGGCAAAAGGTATGAGTGGTGAAAGTTGTGACTCAGAAGAACAGGGGGACGGGTATAATGGTCAAAAAAAAGAAGAAGAGAAAAAGAAAAAGAAGAAAAAGAGGAGGTTGAAGAGGAAGGAAAAGAGAAGATTTCATTTTAAATATAAGAATACAATTTCTGTTAATCATGTCCTTTCTGGTATGTACGTATAAAGCCGCTTTTATAGCGCTCTTGGGCGCTCTGCGACCCCTAGCCGCCAAAATCCTCTATCCTCCCAAAGCCCTTCAGGGAGTTGGCAAACCCTCATTTCTTCTAAAACCCCCTGTCGCCACCCTCTCACTGGGCGTCCCCTTCGTCTCCTCCCAGGAGAAACCCAATCAAGCAACTTCTTTGGAAACCTTGTGCCGCCATTCTATTGACATTACCATACCAGACAAGCTGTCTGGTCATGACGTCGAATATGATGTCATTTTCGACTTCCATGATCTGACGCACTCTTTCATTACGGACCCGATCTCTCCTAGAAATTCCTGCAGACCTCCTCCAGAAATCCATCTCCGTTGCTCTTAGCATCCCCTAAGTCCGCTCCTTCAGCTGCCAAACTTCACATCCATAAGTAAAAATACTCTTGACTACAACGTTGTAAATTCTCCTCTTGTTCTCCTTAGAGATCCGCGGATCCAAGAGGATTCCATTTAACATCGCTGTAGCCTTCCTTGCCAGGGTGTTTCTTTCCTTAATCGCTTGATCAGTTCTTCCATCCTGGATCAACTGCACCCCCAAGTACTTAAAGTGCTCGCAGCCTTCGATCTGCTGCCCATCCTCCAACTCAATGCTTTGCTGATCACCTCCCGAAGTCAGTCTCTCAGTTTTAGAGATACTGACTTTCAAACTCCACTTCCACTACTCCTCTACCAACTTGCGCATCATGTAGGTAATCGGCGACATCTTGATCTTGTGCAATCACCACTTGGTCATCAGCAAAGCACAGAGTGAACAGAGTTTCAACCTCACTCAAAGGGATACCCATCCCACCACATTTTTTCTTCCATTCTTTCGACACATACTCAAGATATATTTTAAATAATGTTGGCGACAAACAACATCCCTGTTTTAAACCCTTTGTTACGTAAAAACCTTCCGACAGTTCTCCATGACACTTAATTTTCGTAAAACTTCCTTTACGGAATCGCTTGACAGCGTCAATCAACCCCCCGTTAAAATTTGATTTTTCCAAGGCTTCCCAGAGTTTCACCAAAGGCACCTGTCATACGCCTTCTGGAGATCCACAAAAATTAAATGCAGCTCCTGAGCTACGGCCATTTTCTTCTCAACGACCTGGACAATAAAAAAGAGGTGATCTATCGTAGACCTACCATCTCTAAAACCAGCCTGCTCCTCTGCTTCGTGATCTTGCGATTCTTCCTCGATCTTCGCTTTTAGTAACTTCACGTACACTTTGCTTATTGTTCCGGTCACTGATAGCCCCCAGTAGTTGTTACAATCGTCTTTCCTTCCCTTCTTTTTTTAGATGGCCTTGATCCAGGACTCCTTCCACTCCCCTAGCACCTCGTCACCCCTAATGCATTGCTGCATCAGTTTTCTGAGGCACTCGCAGAGCTTAGAAGTCCTGCTCTTAACCAACTCAACAGGGATTCCACTTGGACCCGGTGCTTTGCCATTTTGCAGCTCTTTGACCGCTTTAATTACGTCCGCGATATGGATTTCCAAGTTATTTAAAGTTCCATCGTTCGTGCTGTCATTGTGAAACTCTGGGCGCCTCTCCGTTATAAGGTTTCTAAAATGATCCTCCAGATTTTTAAGTGATATCGGAGACAAGATATCCCGCTTCATGTCTCTGCGTAAACCTTTAATTAGCTTCCAACTCTCGGCACTTTTTCTTCCCCCTAGCTAGGTGTTGATTCGATTACAGTTCCTTCCCCAAGCTTCATTTTTCTTTCTTGTTATGAGGCTCCTGACTTTTGACTGAGCTTTCGTGAACACAACTTCATCTTCCGCTTTTTTAGACGACAAGAAAATTTGATGTTTTTGCCTCTTCAGATTGATCTCGTCTTCTATTTCTCTATCCCACCAGTACGGGCGCTGGTCTTTATAACTGGGCTTGTAAATACCTAGGGCTTCTTTTGCAGCAGAGTGGATGCATTCTTTAATAAATAGATATTGTTCTTCCGTGGTTCCAGATGCTCCGTCCCTCAGCTTCTCACCCAAGCATCTCCTGTAAGTGCCTTAACGCTGGGGTGCTCCAAACTTTCAATATTAGACCACACTTCTTGTTCTTGTGGTCCCTGCCTCTGCTGTTGTTGCTGCATTGGCTGTTTGTCCTTGCTGCCCGTAACACGGAACGCTACATCTGCACAGAGGAAATAATGATCACTGCCGCAAGAAAGTCCCCTGTAAACTCGTACTTGCTGCACTTTCAATTTAGTTGCATGCCTCACTATCACGTAATCGATGATGGATTTCAATCCTCGTGTAGGCTGGACCCAGGTATATTTATGGATGTCTTTGTGCTGGAAAAAACCATTCAGGATTCTCATCTCCATTTGAGAACAAATTTCGATGAGCCGATCTCCATTATCATTGACAGCATCCTCCCCGAACGGTCCAACAACTTTGCAGTTGACTCGTCGTCCCGTTCTGCTGTTCAAATCACCCATAACAATTACTTCCCTGCCAGCTGCCACCTCCGTGATTTCCTCATTAAGGTCTTCAAAAAATTGGTCCTTGACTGCGATAGTTGCATCATCATTAACCCCATATACCCCGAACAGCGTGATTTTATGACCGTATAAGTTCAAGTCCATTTTAATGACAGCCAAGCAATGGTTAAATGTTAATAGCAATGGTTGACAGCCTTTCAATTAACAACAAATTTGCGTAGACTTTTCCGCATCATTATGGCTACCCCTTGCAGCGCCCGCTGGTCTTTGGGCACGCTGCTGTAGAACAGATCATAATCACCATAATTTTCGGAACCATGTCTTTCCTTTTTAGTCTCAGTCATAACAACAATATCCACTCTATGCTCTTTGATCTCCGATATCACATCCGGTAATTTTCTTGAAATGCCTTGGACATTCCACGTCCCAAATACCATAGTCCTTTACCGTAATTTATGTCGTAAAATCCGTTTTTTAACATGGGCACGAGGCTTTTTTGGCTAGGTTGTTTAACATTTGAATTTTTTACAAGTACCGGGAAGTCAGCCTGATGATTCAACCCCCAACCTGAAGGACCAGCGTTTGAATTCAGAGTGCGCTCTCCTAGATTGGTTGCCTTTACTTCGTTTAAGAGCCCAATTTACCCTTCTCTGGGTGGTTCATGCGCCTAGAAGCCGGTGACCAACTCCAAAACCCCCTTTGAGGCATGGGCTACCAGCTGTGGTCCGCAGGAATGCTAAACCTGTGACAGTACAGTCCCCCATACGAATACAGATCCCTTTCTAGTTTGACTCCAAGAGAAAACTGCCTTTTGTTAGTTCTTTAGGGCCATAGCAACATCAGGAAACCAAGAGGTGTATAATGTTTTACAGAAGCATGCACAAGATACATGATGTAGGAGATGAGAAATGAGTAAAAAAGAGCATGTATATCCTGTAATTGCATTTATATATGTATGTAAAAGGACCCAATACTTATGAAGAAAGTTGACTTAACACTGAGAACACAACTATTCTGAATGATTTTTCTGGTTCTATTCAAAGAGGGCGCTTCATTCGGCAACTTTATTTAATTGTTTCAACAAAGAAATCACGTTCAAAAGAATTGCGACCATCAGTACCTTCCTTGGGACTTATGATTTCATGGGAAAAACAATTGAACAACATTTAGCTAAACTTGTTGCCGGGAAGAACATTAAAACTTTAAAGTGCTTATATCTCAAAACGAGGTTTTTCAAGAAATGCCCTTATTACACCCAACTCCTCAATTTTTCAAAGCTGAGCCATCACCGACTACCAAAGAAGATGAAATAATCAAGGAGAGGTGAAAGAGGAAAACCCCAGAATTTAACACCAATTTCCTCACATACTTCCTGATTTCCCTGGGTATTTTTTGCTCTATGGCAAGTCCCTCTAGGCCTTGAGTTTTCCAGGTTCCGGACAGTGTTCTAAGGTCTACTGCCGATCAAGCACAAAACTATGGCTAAGTGAAAGAGGAAATGAAAAAATGAACACTTACTTGCGATGTATTTCTCGTCATTTCAGGAGAGCTTTGACTTTTTGAATCATCTTCACCAGCAAGTAACTATAAAAAATGGGAGCAAAAGGGCATACTATCAAATGCCACTGTGTTGCAAGGAAAAATGAAGAAAAATAAGTCACCTCGTATGAGTTTCATTTTTCAACATTTTCGGTTTTGAAAGGGGGAGAGGATGGAGCGGTTATGGATGGAAAAATGTTATTTTATAGGGGAGGCTCCAGATCTGTGTGATGTTTACTTGACAAGGGGGAATGAAGGGGATCCAAAAACTCAATTTTTGCAATTTACAGTTTTCCATTTCAGGAATCTTTTTTTCTCCGTTTCTCCACGTTCAGAACACAGTTTTTGGACCCCCCTTTATTGCCCCTTGTCAAGCATTCATCACACAGGTCAAAAGTCTCACCTAGAGGATTAAATGCTAAATCCTTCTGCCCACTTGACCCTTAAAAGCAGAAAATGTTCCAGGAATACTCATACTACTTCACTTATTTTTCACAGAGACTGACAGTTCATATACATTTTTTCAATTATTATTCAGATAAAGTGCTTTAGACATGCTTCACTGTTTTAATATGAAAGTGTCTTTACCTATACATGGTGGCCCAAACCTACCGTACCAGGCCTTTTTTTCGGTTAATTTTGGTCATACGAAGTCCAGGATCGCGGGGATGAATAGGGAATCGACCCCAAGGAATCCGAATTTCATGGTCCCAGAGCCCCCCTGGCGCCCCTTGGGGGGTAAAAGGGGGTCCGTACTTCAAAAGTCAGGGTTAATGTCAAAATTTTGAAATTATTTCATCGGAATCAGAACGTACGGAAAATTTTAGCTCAAATCGACACCAAGAAATCCAAAACCGGCCCACCCGTGTCCAAAATACCGACCCCTAAAGGCGGGGGACAGGGCCCCCTTTCAAAAAAATTCAAGTTCGTTAAATTGACGTGGAGTCTCGGAAAAAATGTGTATTCATGGGTAATCGACCCCAAAGAATCCGAATTTGAGGGTCCCGTTGTCCACAGAGACTTTTCTGATGGGGCACAGGGGGACTCTGAACTTTCAAATTTAACCGGTGTGGAGGTTACCCCTGTGCCCCATCAGAAAAGTCTCTGTGGACAACGGGAACCTCAAATTCGGATTCCTTGGGGTCGATTACCCATGAATACCCATTTTTTCCGAGTCTCCACGTCAATTTAACGAACTTGAATTTTTTTGAAAGGGGGCCCTGTCCCCCGCCTTTAGGGGTCGGTATTTTGGACACGGGTGGGCCGATTTTGGATTTCTTGGTGTCGATTTAAGCTAAAATTGTCCGTACGTTCTGATTCCGATGAAATAATTTCAAAATTTTGACATTAACCCTGACTTTTGAAGTACGGACCCCCTTTTACCCCCCAAGGGGCGCCAGGGGGGCTCTGGGACCATGAAATTCGGATTCCTTGGGGTCGATTCCCTATTCATCCCCGCGATCCTGGACTTCGTATGACCAAAATTAACCGAAAAAAAGGCCTGGTACGGTAGGTCTGGGCCACCCTGTATAATCTTCTGGAATTGAAGCCGCAAGATGCGATCAGTCTCTCTCTTGATACATCCAGTTTAATGTCTTTTCCCTTCCTACCACCTGATATTATTGGCAGCAAGCCTTGTGAAAAAATGAGTGAACTCATCATTGGGAGAGTAACTGGACATGATACAATAAATGCCCTTCCTTCTTTGATGTACAAAGGTTGTCAACTTTTTGGGGAAAATCTCAGAGCCCTGAGCAAAATATTTCAAACTTAAAATTACAATTTTTTTAGCAACCAGTTTAATTCTACAAGAATACTTTGGTTTTTGATGCCCAGGAAGTCTTGATTGACAACCACTTAATGAATGAATGTATCTTGTACGAGTTGAATTAAGAAATGTTTGATGTGTTCACCATGTACTGAGTGAAATTATAATGAATGAAAAATATGAATGAATGTTTGATTTTTCACTTCATGGTGGTCCATTGAGATTACTAACTTTCATCCGAAGAGCTCACCTTATCAACCTCATCATTGAAGTTGTCTGTCACGGAGCCTTTCTTTGACTGCTCCATTAGTGTAGCCCTCTTTGCAGCAAGGTAAAGAGAGCGCTTAATGCGAGCATAACAGACATCCGTAACAGCTCGTACGGAATAATCAGGCACAAAAGTGTAACGTAACATAGAATCAAGATTCACAGACTGCAAACTTCCAAGAGGCTGTGAAACATTGTTTGTTGGAGATTCAGCACCTGAAAGGCACGAGTCATTAATAAATAGGGACTCCAAACCAGCTATAAATAAGTTTCAAAGATATGAAAAGTAAAAATCTTTTAAATGCATGTTCTGTCATTAACAAATATTTTATCATCATTCACCATACTTCAATGTGAATTAAAAATTCTTCACTTTCTTTTCTGCCCCCAAATTGGGACGGATCGGAATATAACAGGCAAACAATCGGAATAAAGCATGATAAAACAGAAAAGATATAGATAAAATGGGGTCAATCAGGATTAAACCAGATAAGTCTAGATAAAACGGAATGTATTTTATTTTAATGGGATAAACCGAGATGGATTGATGTTAACTGCAATGGATCAGAATGACACAGGATTGTTTGGGATGAAGCAGAAAAAATCAGAGGAAACCAGTATAAAGCAAGGTATGTACATCAAATATAATGATAAAAGGAGATGAATTAGGATAAAACAGGGTAATCCGGATTGAAATGGGATGAAGGAACGTAAAACAAAAAAGAGAAAAATCCGGATAAAACAGGATTAATCGGAATGATACAGGATAAATTGTGATAAACCGTTGCCACTTCGTATCTTCCAGTTTTTCAAACGCAACAAATACTTTTAGGTAAACTTTTAGAGATACGCAAGCAAATTCCTCTTTAATTTTGCCTACGACAAGATCTTTAGCGGTACCTTAGTATACATCTACATAGTATTGTGGTTTCAAAGCAATTCAAAGCGATGTGGTTTCAATCTTTCAGCGAAAGATTCTGGAAACCCCATCAAACAACCAACCTTGGTGGAAAGCTCCACTGCGTCGTGGGTGGTACGCTCGGGCGACGAACGGTAAGCCAGAGGCAGGCTGAAATTGGGTCGCGCGGGCATCACACCCGTGCAAATGCTGAGGATTGCATGATGTGACTTGTCCTTACATAAAATTTAGCGGAAAGAATGTCCGATCGTGGCCGTCTTCTGCCCGAAAAAGTGACGATTGTTCGGCCAAAATTGCTGACCGATCAATCGTCGAGTTTTCTGGTTTAGATTGCGGCCACCGCCCCGGACAAGTTTTCCGGAGTCAGTTGCGTTTTGGACCTGGGCGAAGCGAGGTTTTGGACTTGGCATAAAAGTTGGTGTTCGGCTCGTTTTCTCCCCCCCCCCCAAAACCCCTACATGGCGGAGGCCAAGAGGTCGGCCTGAAGTTTAGTTCGAAAGTACCTAATATTTTTTTTTGATTGACTTGATTAGTTTTGGTTGATTTAATTGGTTACGTGGACTTGATTGGTCGACTTGGTTGACTTAATTGGTTTTGATTGGTTGATTTTTCTGATTCAGTTTTTTTTTCTTCTCTGGTAAAATTGTGTCAGTGTGGATTTACTGCCAGAGCCACAGCAGACGATTAAATTGTATACAAAAAGTAACTCTCAGCAGGAACTTGAGGAAAACATTCACCACGCTTCAAGTGGTTTTGGCTTCACGCGCAACTTTCCCACTCGATACGCGATTTTTTTTGGGTACTCCTAAACATGGATCTACACTTATTCCTAATCCTAATTCTAGTCCAATGATCCTTTTTTTGTTAGTAATTAGAGGTCTACTTCTATCTCTAGGCAATCTATCGTTCGCGGAGGTGGGGGAGGAAGCGCTGATACGCGGCTGGGGCACTTTCTTCCCAGCATTTCCGCCGGATGAGCATGGTTGCCTGGTATTGGGCTGGGGGAGTGTGGCTGGGTCGCGGAATAGCGACTGGAGCTGCCCTTGTTCTTCCAGCTGTTTAGAGTGTGATCGGTCTCCTAGATCGGGAGGGAGGTGGTTGGCTTTCCCGATAGTTTTGATGCTTTTCTCCGCGATGTGTCTTGGTCGCGGCGCCCCCTGGATAGGGTGTCCCCTATTTTTCAAAGTTGAGAAATTTTCATGGGCAGTTTTTTCAAAACGTGATGTGGCCCAAAAAAATGAGAAATCGTTCTGAAAAAAAAAATTAAAAAAAATTTTTGGGGGTCTCTCAAGCGCCCCAAAGGGCGCAGGTGTAAAAATGGATAGATTGTTAAAAGTATAGACATTTCCCAGTGGAAACTCTAGAATTGCGGGTCTGTTGGGCGAAAATTTCGTCCGTTTGGCCGTATCTTTGATGGTTTAGCCGCTACAGGTCGGTATGCGTGCGTGCCGCGACGTACTCGCAGGCGCGAAAAGCTCATGGTGGTGCGCGACGGATGAGCGGCCAGCGGGGCGAGNCCACCATGAGCTTTTCGCGCCTGCGAGTACGTCGCGGCACGCACGTATACCGACCTGTAGCGGCTAAACCATCAAAGATACGGCCAAACGGACGAAATTTTCGCCCAACAGACCCGCAATTCTAGGGTTTCCCCTGGGAAATGACTGTACTTTTAAAAATCTATCCATTTTTACACCTGCGCCCTTTGGGGCGCTTGAGAGACCCCTGAAATTTTTTTTTAAATTTATTTTTTCAAAACAATTTCTCATTTTTTTTGGGCCGCATCACGTTTTGAAAAAACTGCCCATGAAAATTTCTCAACTTTGAAAAATAAGGGACACCCTACCCTTGGATCGCCTAGTTTGACGGAGAACCTGCGGTAGGGCGCTTGCCCTGGGGCCGCGTGGCTCCTCGCGTAGCGGTAGGACGGATTGCACAGTGGCTATCGTTCTGTTTCATGTTTTTGCATGTTTTGATTGCGTCATCATTTGCCGCTGAGTCAGGTCGCCGGCTGGGCTGCTGCACCGTTCCACTGCTGCTTTCTTGAGATCCGTGGCGCTCTGCGTATTATCCGCCGGCCGTATGACCCTCGCTGGCTGTGGTACAGTATACTATGCCCCTTCATTTGTCTCGGCAACCTCCTTGGTCTGCTGGACGCTGATGTTCGCGTGGAGGTCGTCGACATGTGGGTGAGTTAAAATAAGCGTCTAATCTGGTGTCCCCAGCTATTTTAATCGTCATAATCTGAGAAACATGGGCAGATCAAATTTTTTTCTCATTCTCCACACTATTGTTGACTATTACATGCTATTTCCCACTTTATTTGGACTGAAATAAAAATTTAAGAGAACTTTGAATGTGCAAATTGCCTACATTTGTCCCAAATTTGCGTGTCCCCCGTGCCTGATTCTTGACTTTAAATCGATGTTGCAGCATAACCAGAGCGATTATTTGAGAAAACTTTATTGGAGATGATAGGTAATGCTTTTGAATTTGAGAAAAAAAATAAGTCAATTTCTTTTTTGCTCCATCAATAACTTTTTCACGCGCTAGAATCATTGTCCCGAGTAACAGTCAGCAACAGTCAGGAGAGACATGGCAACGATGTAATAAGCTCTAAATGATTGCCGGAACGTTGAGGTTTTCCCAAAAACGACTTTTTTGGTTTTGATTGAATAGTTCACACGTCGTAGATGGCAAAAATTCTGAAATTCGCAAATTTTTGTGCAAGATTAACGCCACAAATGATGTCAAACAGAATGCTATACACGATAACTAACAGGGCGTCAAGCATTCACACACATACACTAATATCAGCTCGTAAAATACTTTCAAAGTGTGCGTTAGGGAAAATTTTCTCTTATTCCGATCCTCTAGGACGTGCTACTAAATATTCCGTGAAAAAAAACACCAAAATTGTCTTTACTGGTAGAGATAAGCTTAAAAAACAGCTTATTCCATCCTGTCCCGTTCCATCTTGTCCCGTTCCATCCTGTCCCAAATGTTTCCATCCTGTCCCATGACCCAGTTTAGTGGGACAGAGTGGAAAACTGTTACAACTGAGACTTGCTTATTTAAGCCTTGTAGGCGCTCTTTCCTACCGATTTAAGTGAAACTCAGAAACCGGGGGTATTTTTCAATGGGGAACTCGAATTTTTAGTCGAATCTTCAAAATTCGAAAATCCAAGATGGCGGACGTGGACTAAAATGCTATCTCAGCACCTAATCAGTCGATTTACGCGAAACTTGGTACCCGCGGGTATTTTTGAATGGGGAACTCGAATTTTTAGTCGAATCTTCAAAATTCGAAAATCCAAGATGGCGGACGTGGACTAAAATGCTATCTCAGCACCTAATCAGTCGATTTACGCGAAACTTGGTACCCGCGGGTATTTTTGAATGGGGAACTCGAATTTTAATCAAAGAGGGTTATACAAAATCGGCGATTTTACTCCCCTCTTGGATTTTTCCCGGAGTTGGATATGTTGTTCCCTATCACATGACACGTCTTTTTCCGCCGTTGGCAAGTTCACACGAAATTTTTCCCGCGCGCTACAGCGTTGCCAAGTTGAAAACAGGCAAATTCCGTAAGTGGCATAAAAATTGAGCTATGAAGTTGCGGTTTTAACGAAAATTCTCTAAAAATTGCGCACTTTTAGGGGATGACCATGTTCTTAATGTCGCATTAATTTTAACATGCATTGTTGCCAATTTTTGTATTTTTAAATTCGACAAATTTTACAAATCCGCAAATACCCAAAAAAGCTATCTTCAAATTTGAATAAAAAGTTGTCTAATCGTTAAAGTTCGTTTGATTCCGCATCCATCGAGAAACTTAGGGCAAAAACCGCAAAAAGCGCCGATTTTGGTGTCTTTTTTTCAATTTGCTGCTTGTCGCGCATTTAATTTTGCCGTGAGCAGAAAGAATTTGACTCAGCTTTTAGAAAGTTCAACGAGTTTTAACTGTGGAAATAACCAATTTTGTCGTCTGATCAACTCCTGGCAAGTCACTGGCTATAATCCGCCACAAAGGCCGATTTTAAGCCATTTTTGGCAAATTTGGCAACTTTTTGGTGACAATTTCGTTATGCAATGGTCAAATTCGGATTCAGCGCCAAAAATTACAAAGGAAACCATGGAATTAATGCTACCCTGTGTTTTTGGAGGCTAAAATTTCTATCCGCCCGGACTCAAAAAGCGTCGTCGCTTCATAAAGCTGTTTACAAAAATGATGATATCTCGCGAATCAAAAGTTTCCCAGCAAGCTATAATATATCGATGGATGCGGAATCAAACGAAC